TCCCAGATCTTAAAACAAGCTCAAGAGCTCTTGATACCTGTTGAAAAAGTTACTGGTAAGATTTTATAGTAAGGGCTTTTCTTTTCCTCTTTCTGCCCCGATGAGCTCTCACTGCTCAGTCTGCTGTGCTGGAAGGGGACAAGCACCTGCAGGAAAACAGACATTTTGGGGCTGGTGCTGTGGATGGTGAGGTCCGATGAAGAGGCTGCTCTGCTCTGGGCTGGCCTGGCTGCTTTCTGGCCATGCATTTAGAAAAGCTATTGCTAATAGCTGGTTAAATGGATAAGATCACTTCGGTAATCTAATCGCAATAGCCTAATCTTACTGAGACCAGTTTGCAATTATAATGAAACACATTTCAATGGAAACACAGTTAAGCTCGTTAAACTGCTCAGATGCTTTAGGCCCTGAGTGGGAATCCTCTTGGCATCAGCGTGGAAATGGCCAGCGCGTCCCTGCCCCTCGCCCCGCTCCCGGCGCATCCCCCTGTGGGTAGGGGAGCTGCTAAGCCTGGAGAAGAAGCCAACAGCTCGGAAGATTATGTGGAAGGGAGAGAATTTGCCCTGATCAAGTGATATGCATGGACCCTGTCAGGAGGGATGGCTGCCTTGCTTCTCTTAATGCCAGTTTTTACTTTTTTTGTACCAAAGCAGCATTGCTATAGTTTCATCCCAAGTTACAGTGGTGGGGAAGGAAGGCCTGCTGGGTGTCCTCTAATAGAGCGGACGCGGAGCCGCACAGCACCACTCGCTGTTTTAAACAGGGCTCTTGCCCCTGCGGGGACTGTAGAGCTGTGGGCTCTGCATCCCCTTCCGCCACCAGCATCACTTGGCTGGCCGGGATGGTTCACAGCTTGGGCAAAAGGAGCTGATTAATCCCTTCAGCTGCCTAAGTCTAGACAGGAGCAGAAGCATTTTAGGCATGTTCTGTTTTGTTTTGGTTTGGTTTTTTTTTCCTGAGGAGTGTAAGATGAGGCTGCATTCTTTGCTATAAAGTTATTGCTGGCTTGCTCTGTCCAAGCAGAGCAGGACGTGAATTCCTTCCTCTCCTTTCGGCTTGCAGCAAGTGCCTGCAGTTAGCTGTGAGAGCCTGGGAATCACTTTATAAGGCTTGCGGTTTCATGCCCCTTCAGCCCCACGTGGCTTTCAGAAACATGCACCTGACACCATTTTTCAGATTGTTTTTCTTTTTTTTTTTTTTGCGTGTTCCAGAGTTTTGTTCTGTTTGGGGTTTTTTTTACCTTTTTGTCTTTGTTTAATGCTTGCATGTCAGACTATAATAGAGAAGACTTAAGAGCACTTCACATCCAACCTTCCTGAGAAGCAGAGGCTTCTGGACTGCAACACCATAAACTGATAGGACAGAAGAAGGGAATCTTAGCCAAAACCAAGGACCCGGAAATAAATGGCAACGTTCGCTGTCCCATTATGGAAGCACATCATGCCCTTAAACGTTTGTTTAGCTGAGACTTCTGAAGGACATTGTCAAGCTTCAAAATAGGTTAGAAGATAAACTGTTGGGAACGTCATTACCAAAATATCTAGACAATCCAATGTTTTCAGCTACAAACTACTGGTTTGTATTTCTCGAGCTAAAGAGGAATCTCCGGGAGGTCCCCGGCAGTGGATCGGTCTCTGCTACCAGAGGACAATGACGCATATGGGCATTCACCATCGGTTTGAATACAGGCTGCGATACTTGCATCAGACAGCTCTCAAGTGCTGTTTCAGCAGATGCAATGAAGGGGAACAGCAGCCGAGCTGGAGGGAGGCAGGACCAGCAGCGGTGGCTGTAAGGCACAAGTTCAGCTCCTGAATTTTCCTGGTTTCATCCTCTCCCTGCCAGTGTCGCCTTACCGTGCGTCTTGGGTGCATAAGTGGCCTTTGTGCTTTTGAAATTATCCCTCTTAATCTTTTCCACTGCAGATCTCCTTATTTAAAGCGCCTTGCATTCTTATTTGAAAGGCAAATAAGGACTAAATAATGGAGGGCCTTTTTTTAAATTAAAAAAGAAGGAAGCCGGGGCTTGTGTGCATGAAAGAAATCACAATGCAGCCTGCCTTGTGTTGTTTATACAACCTGGGTTTAGATCTAAACACTATCCGAGAAGTGTCAGTGACCATAAATGGGGAGGGCTAACGCACAGCTGGTTTATATGGGTAGGTTAAAGCAGAGATCGCTGAAGCGAGTCTCATAATCCTCGAAGAATTGAATGACTAGCAGCTGCTTAAGGCATTATTCCTATTCATAATGCCTGTGCAAGTGCACTTGAAGTTTGTTACTCTTTTTGGAGACACGAGGCAGAAAATGCATAAACAACTGAGCCGGGGAGGAAATCAGGGAGCTTGTTCCCAGTCTCTTGGTCTAAGTTCAAGTCCGATTGCCGCAAAACCAAGCGAGTTTAAATCTAATTCAGGGAGGGTGCCTGCCCCTTGTGTGAAGCCAGCACCGGGGACCGCGTGGCAGCACCGCTCAGTAGCTGTCTTCTCAGAGGTCAGGTCAAATTCATAGCAGAAATGAGCACCTGGTCTTCCGGAGACTGAATGCACGTTTTTCTGAATACTTTGCAGACTTTAGGATTTTATTCCTCCCCGGGTAGGAAGAGCTGTTCCCTGGAGGGACTGGAGGCATGGAGTCCCTGCTGGGCCAGCTTCAAGTGTAGGTCACACTGCTGGGTCTGCAGAGCCTGCTGCTGGTGGGCCCCCGGCTCAGTGTGCACTTGGCCAGCCCCTTCCCAGGGAAATCTGGGATGGGGAATGGCACTTAGGGAAGGGTCCTGCCTGGGTGGGGACGACATTACTGACGGGGGCGTGCAGACATGTTGTGGAGCGGGCAGAGCATCTCTGCCTGCT